AAGGGTCCCAGCAAAAAAAAAAAAAAAAAAAGAAAAACAAAAATTTAAAAAAAAAAAAAAAAAAAAAAAAAAAAAAAAAAAAAAAAAAAAAAAAAAAAAAAAAAAAAAAAACGTACTGCTAGGCTACCAGCCGGGCCGCCGGGGTCCCGGGTGGCCAGCACGTGCAAGGACCAGGGAAGGGTCCCAGCAAAAAAAAAAAAAAAAATCAAAAATAAAAGAACTCCGGAAAACAACTATGTTATGCAGAAAAATAACTGTCTCTTATACACATCTAGATGTGTATAAGAGACAGGACCCACAGTTAAGAGGACCTGTGAGATGGAATGAACACAAAGCACATCAAGAGAGACCATCACAGGCATCGTCTCCCAACACCCTGTCTCTTATACACATCTAGATGTGTATAAGAGACAGCAGTTAAGAGGACCTGTGAGATGGAATGAACACAAAGCACATCAAGAGAGACCACAGGCATCGCCTCCCAACACCCCTCCCCCCCCTCCCCCCCCCGCGGGCCTCTGGAACAGCTTCTCTTCCTCCCCCCGAGCCCCACGGGAACAACTCGTCACCATGCCAACCCTCACCGCATCGCCAGGTCTCAGCGTCTTCCCATGCTTGCTCGGAGCTTCCGAGCAAGAACGCTCGGCTCACCAGGCCCTTCGACCCCAGCAGGCCACCTTCTGGCCCCAGCAGAGTCCCCCACAAAGAGAAGACTGGAAGCACCAGTAGTCCAGGACCAAGTAGTACTCGCCATAGTGGCAGTCACATCGAGATATATTGGCGGCATGTCGTCGGTCGTACCAATTGATGCGAGCAAGATAGTTGTTGCTGAAGGTGTATTTCAGATGTCATCGTTAGGAGCACTGGTGTTGTCATTGTAATGATTGCTCATGATGAAGATGTCATTGTCGTGATTCATGGGCGCTGTTGATGTAGTTGAAGAAATTATCGTTGTCGTTGGTGTCAGATTTCTTTTATTTGTTGTTGATGTCTTCGTCATATCCACTGTCGTGTGTACTATTGATGAACCAGATGTCCCTCTACTGGATTTACCGGCGGTTGTGTTGGCCGCTCATTGACCGCTCAACACTAATGCACTGGCCTTATCGCCACCGTCTCCCCTACACCCCACCCACACCCTTTGCTGCGTATCTCACCACCACTGTCGCCAAGCCCCGCATGTTTTCTACCTCTGTGGGCGATGGTGCCGGCCTCTCCCCCCCGCCTTGTTGACCTACCTCTCTCCACAGCGATGACGTCAACATCGTCCTTCTGCCTCAGTACCCCGCCGAGGTTTCAGATATCCTGACCGCCGAGCCCTCTGGCCGGTAAGCTCCCCACACGCTCCCGCTCACCCTGGTGTTAAAGAGAGAAAGAGGGGAAATAAGATCCAGCAAACTAACTGACCCCATAGCATATGTTTTGTACTGGCCTGGCTGCCCCCAAAGGTTATCTGAGGCCAGTATCCTTTTGGGACAGCTTTTTTTGGACGCTGGCACTGGGGCCACCAGGGA